GTCCCAATAGTATCAACATTCATAAATGCCTCCGGCTCGGTGTGGATAATTATCAAAACAGGGTCAATTCTCCACAACCTCACGGATTTGAAAACAAGATTTTTTTAAAGTGTAAATGTTACAATTATATCCAGCCATTTCACAGTACGCTTATGAATTACATTGTCAAACTAATACAAAAATAGAGATTACCATGATGTGGACCCTTAAAACAAATGATAGGCATTGAAATTAACAATACAAAGTACACAAAATTAGTGATCCTTCTGACAGCGAATTACGACGAAAAGTGCACGGGTATCCTTTCCATTGGAAACGGGGAGCGAAAAATAAAGTAACCCTTGTAGACCCTGCTGGAGAGCGACATATCTATGTGAGGTGGGGAGGGAATGTCGAGCAATACTTCTGGCGGCTGTCTGGGCAAAGTTCAGAAAGTAAAGATTAAACGTGATCACTGAGTTCTGCTCTTTGCTGCATATTCGACTGCGCCTGTTGGTATTGCAACATGGATATCTTCGCAGTGATTTTAGCTGTGGTGGTGGTGCTAGCGTCGGCTTACGTAGCGGCTAATTTCGCCTCGCCAGGCGGGGTACCACTTCACGGCGTGTACGCCGTTCCCGGCCGATGGTACTTGCTAAAATACTGCACAGCAAAATGGCTGCTGTGGTGGAGCCGAGAAAGGAAATGTACCATCAAAAAGAGGACCATGAACTACCACATGATGCAGGATAAGACCAAGGACATCGGTGGGATGGAATTTTACAATGGAACAGAAATGTACCATCAAAAAGAGGACCATGAACTACCACATGATGCAGGATAAGACCAAGGACATCGGTGGGATGGAATTTTACAATGGAACAGAGAAGGTGAGCTGAAGATCTGCATTACACCTTTCGATTATCATTTGGTAAAATCGAGAATCCATAAGTAATCCAACTTCACTTTTATCTTTCGAATATTGTTTTGTACTGACAGGGATTGACGTCTAATTGTATTATATCCAACCCCCTAAATGTGAAATTCAATTGTTCTTCAAGTTTCGATCACTTTAAGAACACTTTAAGAAATATCGGGTTCGCTCAAAACTAGCCTTTCGGGTACAAGACGCTAGAATTCAAACACTGTGTTAAGCCGAAAGTTCAATTCTTCCTTGCTATCATTTGGTAAACATTTTTGAATACTGAACGTATTTAGAGCTTGATGGATAGTGTTTAGACATTAGAAATTGGTGTTTAGGAATGGAATCAAATGTTAAGCACCATGCTTTATAAAAAGCACATATTAAGCAACATGTTAAAAAAGTTATTGCAAGATTTAATACTTGCTAAAAAGTATTGATCATGCACAGAAGTAGTTGTACATGCATATTAAAACACCTGAATAAATCTTCGCCATTTGATGTTTGGTTAATATGTTGGTCACACGGCATAAACCATGATGCTACCGTAGCATGCATCTATAAAATGCACTTGCCACTTGGATTCTTGCCCTTAGCTTCTGAGAAGTCTTCTTATTGTGCGCGCTGTTATTCCTATTAACCATCGTCAAGCACAGCGTTTCTCTGAAGCTATGCCCTACAGCCAGGAGCGGATCTAGCTTTCAGGAAAGGGGAGGGATGTGATGGGCGTACTGAAGGGATGCCCTGCTAACGGGGCCCGAAAGCATCATGCACCGTTCCCTGATGATAGGAAAACTTAACTATAGAAGGACGGCGCAATCCTCGTCAGGGATTTGTTGGGGGGTACTCATTTTCCCCTATCCCCACAGAGTACGAGGAACAGAACCGTACATAAGTATGGGAAGTCAAAGTTTCTGGTGAAGAGCCCCTATGTTTACCAAACTAACGTCAGCAACCTTTCCATGTTTTGGTTTTCAGGGCCAGAACTGCCTTTACATCAGTGGCGCAAGCAACGGCGGTACGGCCCGACTAACGGTGCGGGTCTCTGTTCAGCCCTGCGACCGGCGTGACGTCTGGTTCCTCCTCCGGCTACCGGACGTGGGCGACCTGGTCTTGCCTGGCCATCCCGACTGCGTCGCAGAGAACGTCCGGCCGGGGGAAGGGTTTAGCGGGGCGGGACTCCACTGTACGCCCATTGAGCCCTTGCAGATTTGGAGGATTTCATCCAACGGACTTTGCAGGTAGGCCGATGCTGTGGTGTACTATATAGTAAACAGTATACAGTGCCACGTGACATGATCCTTACTCTGTCGTTTACAAAGAAAACAATTCTTGTTTGCTGAGTTGGTTACTATCTTTCAAGTTTGAATTCAATAAGCCTTTCCTCGGTATTTGGTACATTTATTTCCATGCTAAATTGTCAGACTGTAGACAGCTGTGTAACTACATACACTAGCTATTACGTCTGTAAACTAAACACTTGTTTTTTCATCATCTCTTATGTATCTCGTGGGTTCATCTGCGACCCTTTGGCCACAAGTGTACTTCTTGTTCACCTTTTTGCTTTGTCTGAATAACAACTCTTGTGTTGGACCTGAATGGGGTGACTCATATTAGTTTGTGCATTTAATGTTTCGTGACATGGCTATGGATTGATCTAACTTCTGCAGCTTTGGAAGCCGCTATGCATCCTACGTTTCATATGCACTGTTTAAAAATTCAGCATTTACACCAAAAAGGTCGAATTATGTTTCTGTTGAGTCTATGAAAGACCAACACTTCAAATCGAGATAAATGAAACAATCGCTTTCGGGGACATAGACCTTTTATTGACCTTGCTATAGTGAAAACTTGCAGTGTAGGCTATGTCAAGAAAAGTGAAGCCATTTGCGTCCATCAATCTCTCCGGGCGTGCATGTCGATAACATTTGACAGTTCTAGCTTTTTGAAAATCATCTTTATAGTGTGGCAAAGTTTAACGATATCTGTCCCTTTAGGGTGTACGATCATAAGATTGTTAGGAAAACTGATTTATTTTAATCACTCTGACTTCTTTTGTTTTAGAGTAAATGCACAGAAGCAAAATGCTGTGAATAGGAAAAAGAATCGTTATCCAACATTGTTTCCCCTTCCGGGGTTGGTATCTCGAATGAATGGAATGGAGAGGACAAAAGACCTATCGTTCATCTACGCTGTAGTCTGTTGTACGTATTAACCAGGAAGATAAGGCATAGGCCTATGCAGATGTCCCCAAAGAAGAGTCAAAAACTTTGCCATATTGTGATCATTGTACACACTAAAAGCACATAATTTGCAGACGGGTTTTCTGCGGTAGTCGTGTCCCATGTAGAGACTGGATGGATAGTGGTTTAAACTAAAATGCACTGTCAAAAGAATGATTACCCTCCTCTAAATTTTGTAATGACGAGATAATTCTAACGGTTCAAAATTGGCACCGGTACAATTTGAAATGAGATTTACCCCGCCTTCTCTCGGATATGCTGATTCAGCTCTTTTTAAAGGCTCGCCATGGAAATGGATTTTTTTCATATGATTTACAAAGGGAGGTAACACCTTTCCAGTGAACAAGTTAGAAGGTTGCAACGCAGCAATACTATAATGAAAATGTTTGTTTAATCGGTTGAAAAAATAGTGATAGTTCGCTTGATACTAATTGACTACAAACAAAGGCTTCAAGAGTGACTAGGAACAAAGGTTTCTTGTTCCATTACTCGTGGTTTATCCCGCGTCCCGCATAAACGGGCACTCTCCCCAAACTGGGTCAAATTCACTATGATAAAGGCCATTCCTTTTTATACAGGTGGAGCACCTACACAACATTCTATGATTTTGGCGCTGACGCATATCTCGGACTTGCTGCTGATGCCGTTGCCAGAGAAAAATGGACGGCTCCA